GAAAAACTGGTTTTTCACAAAAATACCTGTTGAAGTTATTTTCATTTCTACACAAAAACAAATGTTGCCACTATACTTAGCGTAGTCGATTACCTATATTCCATGGCACTTCGAGATTCCCAGAGATGTTTACTCGGAGATAAACACGTGCTCGGGGGAAGCGAGCCCTATCCGAACGACGGTAACTGGAGAGCTGGTACTTACATAATTTTGTAGAATAACGTTCAGACTACCTATGCATGCAAAAAAGTTAGTAACATTGTATGTTAGTTTTCTGAGAACGGAGCTAATTTTTCAAAGATCCTCTTTACAAAAACATGTCTTAAGGTCTTGGTTATTTAATAGTGAAAACTGCAGGTTGCTATCTCATCTCTGTGAAAAGTTATTAGCAAAACACTCACGACCACCTTATTTTGGAACGGATAGTAGTGTATAAGCGGAACAGACGAATGCTTTGTCCTTACAAGAGCATTTTTAACAAGAGTGCACCATCTTTTTGATTTAGTACTGAGATCAGATGATATTTTACGATAGTATGATTTGTTTGCTTCATTACATTCACGTTCAAAATGTTTTCGTAATTTTTTTATATAACTGTAAATCATACTCGTTCTTGGTACGACGGTACCGACAATATGCTTTATGCTTTTCACACAACAGTTCGTGTAGTTTTCAGTAAAAATTTAACAAAGATGCTTTGTTCCCAATCCCATCTTCTCTCCACAATTAGTTTTTTATTTCTAACTAAAATGTCATTGAGAAGAGATGAGAGTTCGCTTCGTGTGTTATATGAAAAATATTTTTTTTGCTTATGACACAATTTTTGTCCGTCTCACTCTTTAACCTTTGAACAAGTTGCAAATAGAAAGAAAAAGACGTTTAGTGACGTTGTACCCCGTAATTATCCCATTTATCCCGTAATTTTGTTGAAAAATTTTTTCTCTTAAGATAAACTATAACTGTTACAACAGACCCATAAGCGGCTTGTCCACGTAACCTGACAGTTCGCTGATCAAATATTTTTTAAATTTTTTTCCTTGAAAATCGATAAGGGTACATCATTAGACGCAGCTTTTCATGCTGATCACAGATTCGACTTTTGTTTTGAAGAAAAAAAATTAATTTTCGATAGAAGAATCTTAATTTAAAATTTTTAAAAGGTTTCATTTCAACTTTCTGACCTAGACATTTTGTTCAAGAGTTTTAAAGACATACCATTGAATAGTAAATTCAATTCTCTACAAAATGCCTCGTTTTGTTTTGAGATCCATCTTTCGATCGAGACACAGTGACTGCTTGAATGTTTCAACTTCCGCCTTTGTCTGTAAGCCTTCGAACTTTATTTTCAACTGCAGTCTTTTCAGGAAATCTAGAACTACACAGACTATAAGTATGAAGTTTTTTGAATAATGTTTAGTGCCTAAAAATGGTGCGACAAAAAACTGTGTGTCAGGCCATTAAGAAAAATGTCACGGCATTACCTTTGGTTTTTTTGCATTTTATAGCCGAGCAAAAATAGTTGGAAGAAATTTTCTTTTACCGTCGAATAGCTCATTCGATGTTCTACAAAACTGGGTCTTGAAACTTTTCAGCCGGATAGATACTTTTGCAGGAAATTACAGCTATATCACCAGTTCTATAATCTTTTTATATGTCACACCGTTACGTACTGAAGAAGACTTTCTGAAAGCTCGAGAATTGAACAGAAGTACTTCATTTTTACGTCGTAAGTAGAGTAAAGCGAGTTGCGTCGAACAGCGCTCGAACGAGATTTCAAGCTCTTATACTTTTAGAGATAATTAAAGATAAATGTCTCAAAAATGTCACGCCGTTACGTTTGGACAAGCCGTAAGTTCTCAAGATGCGCATGACAAAATTTAAGCCTAATTTATTTGATTAAACTTGAGGGCCAACCCTCCCATTTAGATTTTCCTCAAAAGTTTTCTCAGCTTATCTACATTATTTAGCTGAGAAAAAAATGAATTACTTTTGCACTCAGTGTTTTGCTTCAAAATGTTTGGTTCGAGCGAAATTAGTCGTAAGATGAGGTGAAAAAATCTTCCCTGAGCCAAAAACCAGCGATATTTTCAAGGTTTGAATATTTTATTCAAACCTTCCCAGCTTGTAGAAGATACTTGAAAGTATATGTTGTGAAGTTTTCTCAGCTTGGTTACTTTATTCAGCTGAGAAAAAAATTAATTACTAAAATTTTTTAGCAAGAGGCTATTATTAAACAATTTACTGTCCGTTTCATCAAAAAAACTTGGTTCTTGCGTAAATCGATAGACAAATGTGTGGAGAATATTTAGCACGAGAAAATATGTAAACATTTATGTTGTTTCCTTCCTGTTATTGATTAATTAGTACCAATTAACGTTAATTTAGCAGACCATTAACAGTTATGGTTTATCTTAACAGAAAACATTTTTCAACAAAATTACGGGATAAATTGTTTTCACTGAACAGACAGGCTCAGATCAACAGATCAAGCATTTCTGTTCGGGCTCGGGGCAACAGAAAAGTTTGCCCCGCAGGACTGTACTGACAATCTCGTAGATCTTTTGCTTGACAAAGTACACCAATAATAAAATGAAAACTTAAACTATTTTCTGATAGATATGATTATCCTCATTTGACCACCGAAAAACACAAGTCTCTATCTCTTTCTAATCAAATGTTATTCAGTAAACAACATTGATCCGCTCTAGTTGTTTAGCATGAGGGTAATGTTAACGTATGCGAAAATTATATGTTTTATGCTTATTATACTTTGATCTTTTGTTTTATGAATATATACGAGTTATTTTCTCATTTTATTTTTATAAATAGTTCAAAACATTATTTAAAAAAGTTCTCTTTAAAAAATAAAAACCAAAATAATATAGAAAAATATATATCAGACAAAACACTACTGATTTAATGCAAGACGAGGTTTAATCACTGTTATTGTACCTGATAAAATTGAATTTAATCGGCAATTAATTATTCAAAATAGATTAATTGAATAGCTAATTACATATTCAGGATAGATTTGATTATCATGAAATGTACAAACTATAGTGAATGGTTTTTTATGATCTGTAGTCGAATCACACCGGACCTCTTTATTATCAACGATTATATTTGGAGCTAATTTGATACCCGAACTACCTTCTCCATACTGACCGACAAGTACGCGACATAGAACCATTGATGATATATCTTTATTTGCCAACGCACCTCCATCCGTATAAGAATGAGAATAGATCGAATGACGAGCAAAATAAACACCCATTCCATAAATGACAGCTAAAAAAACAAACAAAACAAAATTTAAAAATAAAAGAATTAGAAACGTTTTTTTATCTTCTCACTTTCTTTACAGTATGATCGATTGAATCCATGAGCTAATATTCGTTGATGATTATCACTACTTGTACCATGAAACATCCATTCTTCATTTAAAATCCCTTTATTCTTTTTCTTCATATAATTACGATGAGAAACAAATTTTTCCCATAAATAACGATTTTCCACACGTTCAATCTAAATAAGAATAAAATAGTTGAACTAAAATTCTCTTGTTAATAAAATATTTGACTCTAATATAGATTCAGATGATCATCACCAAAATCTAGACCACTAGTTATAATCTCTTTATTACTGTTCAATATTTGGTGGAAAGATATCAGAAAAAGTATGTTTAAAATAATATCTAGAATTTTAGTGTATTTTCTGTGACTACTGTCAAAATTGTTGTAAACAGCGAAACCAGAGACCGAAATAATGCAGTCAAGTTTGATACTGACTGATACAAAAGCCAAAGTTTCATTGAACGAATTTGATCAGAAAATGTTTTTGGACAAATCAAATCAAATCAAATCAAATTTATTTCATGTCCTGAATGTTAAATTGACAGTGATACTGACAAAAAGTTAAGTGAGAAACTTTGACTAGGTCAGCACCATGAACGAAAGAGATAAAAAGAAAAAAAGAGGAAGATAA